CTCTATGGACAAGATAAATTGACTTTAGTCACGGGGTGGATTGTGGTGGTGCAGTTCTCACCCCTCCCTGCCCCTCCTTGTTGGGCTGCTTGGTGCTAGGTGTGATTCCACCCACATTCCCCATACTATACACCAATCTGTGGAGATAAGGACTGCTAAAGTCAAGGCACCCACTTAATGAGCCTAGCTCCTGCCCCTCCCATTACTCGGAAATGGTTATAATGGCCTATCATCTCCTAAGGGCCTGGCGCATCTGTGCCTGGGATGGGGTCAAATGGGAACAATAACAGAGTTGCACACTGCTGGAAGGCACCAGAATGCTTGATGTTTCCGTATCTGACAAAAGTCAATTATCTTGGACCCTATAAATTGCGACCACAAGGGAGACCCTTTGAGCTCTCCTGGATCGCAGCGGGCCTGTGACCAGCATCTCCCCTGAGCTGGGACGCCTCTCAAGTACCAAAATCCTTAAGGTGTCGTCTGCCCCAGACAGAAGGCCAGGGCGAAGTCCACCCGCTCGAGTCTCAGTTATCGCCCGCTGAGGAATGCCAAGGCATTGTGAGTATTTGCTCTAAACTCGAGAGGGCAATTTTCCTTTGAGCTAGCTTCTATTTCACCTGTTCTTTCTGTCTGTTGGTGTGTGGGTATGTACTTCATTCTACTGGATCCAAATACTCTTGTCTCTCTGTGTGTTTGTATGTTTTGTGTATGCACATGTATATGTATAAATTAAGGTACTGTTAAGTAAGTTAGTGTGAATCTTGTCATTTTAGAATCTGTACATGTTGCTTGCTTTCTTTCAACATTTCTGAATTATTTTGTAATGATAAATTGCTGTTAGTTATCAATAAATCTCCATTTCCTGCTAAACCACCACCGTGTTAATACTTTCATCCACAACAACAGCAAAGAAATAATATGCTCAAAATCGGAGCATCACCTTTAGCATTTACGATTTGGCTGGTGTTATTGATTTACCAATAAGTAGAAATAATTGTGTGTAATTTAATAGAAATATAGAAGCATAAGAGATAGTGTGGTAAAATAATTTGTTCAAATTTATTGCATTTTGCACCAGCAACTGACTGCTACTTTAAAATCCCCTGTACAGTCCCGTACCAAGGCTGAAGGGAGTGGTCATAATTAGCTAATGGAAACAGTTAGGACCTAGGTAACAAAGCACAAGATCATTTGTAAACTGGTTTATGATGCATACATAGGACTAGAAGAGCACAAATATTTGTCAAGGTTGAGGATTAATGGGAACTGAGGGAAGTGACTGTAACAGCCTGCAAGTACCTGCCAAGAAACTATTGTCCTTAAGCAGAAGGTAATTCCGGCAGGGGGAGATTGCGACCACCGACTCATGGACCACCTACCCACATTACACCCCAGACCCATTTCTAGACATTTCTAGCTTTCACTGTGCAGAATCGGAAATAGGAGGAGAGTATATTGATGATTTACACAAAATTATATGTCTATGTATGAATACTTAATGGGCAAGTTCTCTATAAGATGTATAATTTTAGCGCTTGGTGTGTGTTGTTGGTGAGACGACTCCCCTACGCACCCAGCCATCAATAAAGAAGTGTCTGCTTATCTACATCACATCAGTGTCAATAAGTTTTTATCCCAGTTTTCGGTGACAGTTTCTGGCAACTCAGGTGGGACCTCGCTGAGAGAGACCGGAGGAGTCAGGGACCTGAGCGGTTCCAGCCGGCACCGAGGATTTCTTGGGGATACCCATCAATTCCCTGATCCATAAGGCTCTTCTCGATGTCCCCTGGAATTTGGCAAGACACTTCTTTACATTTTAAGGTACTGTTGTGGTAAGTGGGTTAGAGTCCCACTAGTGTAAGTCTGCCTGTCAGACATGGTGAAAGCTGCATAGGGTTGGACCAAAGGATCCTAGCGTAAGTGGAAGACTATGCCCATAGGATGTAAACGAAAGCTATTGCAAGATTGGACAATAGTATAGACAAGGGAACCTATGTGGTATAGAATTCTCAAAGGTAGTGCCTCTAATGAAAAGTTAGAAGATTTTCATGTGTCATATTGTGGAATTCTTTATTTTCTCAGTGGTGTACTGTGTAAGAATTAAGAATCGTATAATATTGTGTGACATACTGTTTGTTATTAAAGGTAATAATTCTGGAAAGGTGTGATTGAGCTTGTAAGCGTGAGACGTGCAATTGAGCATGAAGCGAGTGCGGAGTTCAGATCCGCGGTTCTGTTATCCCGCAAGGGGTGCAGCCGGAGAAGAACGAAGCAACAGATTCAAGTGACTGATTGTATATTGTGTTACAAAGTAAATGAACCATGGCATCTAAGATGACTCATTTGTTTAAAAGTAAAAGTATGGGTAATCTGGCTGCAAATGACAAAGTTCCGAAAACTTCTCCATTAGGATGTTTGTTAGCACATTGGGGAGATTTACATGATGATTTGCGAAAGAGTCAGATGATTGAATATTGTAATCACTGGTGGTCTCTGTATACTTTGGATAATCAGGAAAAATGGCCCTTGAATGGGACATTGGATTATAATACCGTTTTGCAGTTAATGATGTTTTGCAGAAGAGAAGGGAAATGAAGTGCCATATGTTGATTTATTTTTCTATTTAAGACAGAGGAAGGATTGGCAGAAGGAATGTAAGTTGATTAGTAGGAATAAGGTAGTAATGGCTATAACTTCTGACGTTAAAAAGGAGAAAAATTGTTGTTCAACATGTGAGCTTGGAAAAGACTGTTTAAAGAAAAGAATTGCTTCTGCTGAAAAAGATGAAGGGCTGGAATTAGATATATTCCCTCTGCAGAGAGAACGGCATCAGGGGGGAGAATACAGAGAACAGGTAGAGGAACCTGAGAGTAGTGGAATAGAGGATGTGGATGAAGGGCCGTCTGAGGTTGTAATTCATACCCCTGTTTCTTGAAGAACTCGGCAGCGGGCACAATCAGTAGCTCCCCTGCGGCAGGGAGTTGGCAGTGATGGGCCGGTGTATGTGAAAGTGCCTTTTGCAGTCACGGACTTGATGGCTTGGAAGCAGGCAGCAGAAGTGTATAGAGAGGATCCTGAGAGAGTAAGCAGAGTGGTAGATACTATAATCAGAATGCAGAATCTGGATTGAAGTGATTTACAGGTGATTTCAAATAATTTGTTAGATGATACAGAAAAACAGATGGTATTAAAGGCCAGCAGAGCACAAGCAGAAGTGGCTGTTTCGAGTGGAACAACAGGTGGAACATTAGAGCAGAATTTTCCATCTGGGGATCTGCAGTGGGACCCAAATAATGTGGAGCACAGGGAGAGACTGAGTCGGTATCAGAAATGGATTTTATATGGGGTTAAAAATGCCATGCCTATATCCCTAAATTGGCCTAAATTATATGAGGTGAGACAAAATAAGAATGAATCTTCCTGAGCGTTCTTGGAAAGACTGAAAGAAGCTGCCAGAAAATACACTGACTTGAGAGTAGAAACAGAGGTGGCTCAGATACAATTGGTTTTGATTTTTATGGGAAAATTGGCACAAGATATAAGAAAGAAAAACTCCAGAAACTTGAAGGAGATGATGGAAGGAGTCTGAATAAAATGCTAGAAGCAGCATGGAAAGTAATAATAACAGGGGAAAAGCGGAAAGGAAGACCAGAGAAAATACATTGTTGGCTGTAATGACAGGGACAGCAGGCAGAGGAAGAGGCAGGGGAAGAGAACGAGGAATCTGTAGAAGGGGAGGATTTATGAACTGTGGCAATTGGAATTTTAATGGCCCCTTAGGAATAAATCAGTGTGCCTTGTGCAGGGAGGAAGGACACTGGATAAAGGATTGTCCTAGAAATTGAAATATTCAGCAGGAAATAGCCAGAGTGATGGTTTTAGAGGACTGAAGGGGACCAGAGGGGAACCCAGCTGAGCCTCTGGTTGTAATCAAGCTGGGAGAAAAAGGAGTTATTTTTGGTAGATAAAGGAGCGGCATTTTTGGTATTGAATACTTGTAAAGGAAAAAATGGAATAAAACCAGCAAACATAATAGAAGCAACAGAGAATGAGGGAAACAAGCCAATCCTGCAACCCCTAGATTTAAAATTTGGAAATAATTACACATGAATTTTTGTATGTACCAGAATGTCCGATACCCTTGTTAGGAAAGGATTTGTTATCTAAATTAAATGCAAAAATTGTTTTTGAGGAAGGAGAACTTTTTTTGAAAATACATGAGTCAAAAACAGGAGAAATCTAGATAATACAAGAAAAAGTGAAGGAGCAAGAAATTCCACCAGAGGTAGACTCTGCAGTGATTCCTACAGTATGGGAAACAGACATTCCTGGCAAATCAAAATTGGCAGAGCCTGTGAAAATAGATTTAAAAGAGGGTGCAGGGACAGTAGAAACCAAGCAATATCTTGGAATTTACCACTTTGAACGTTAACAAACAGGGTGAATTAGGGTGACCTTTCCAGAGGTTAATTGACCTTTCTTCAAGGTTTCAGTGCACGTCCTGGCACACAAGCCAGGGATTCTTTCTTTGGAGTTTCCAAATGCTCATCAGATGTGGCCTGAGGTTTGTGACCAGTGCCACTGCTGGGCCCTGCTGAGCCTGCTGCCCAGCGGCACTGAGGCTTTTCTCCGTTGACACAGCATTTCACCCAAAACGAGGTGGTCTGCGGTGGAAGTTTTGTTCTCCTACCACCTTACTAATGCAGATTGTGTTGCATTCCCTGTAGCCCTTCTTTTCTGAGCAAGGTCTCTTAGCATTCCTGTAGGAGATGGGTACAATTCAGACCAAGTGCCCACACTTCAGATGTGCTATTACTCCAGGACTCTTCTGGCAGGGGTAGGAAGAGAACGTGCATGCTCTTCACAGTGAGTCCCGGTGCTTTGTCCTGCGACATGTGACATCTGCTGAGTGACACCTGCTGCCAGGAGTCCTTCCCGAGGAGGGCAGCAGGGTTTGCAGAGCACACAGTGTCAGAGGGTCAACAAGAACAGTTGTGCCCCTCTTCAGTTGGGGTGTAGGTTTTTGCCATCTTACTTCACAGGAGTCATTCTGCGGCACAGTCTTGGCATGTAGTTTGTCCTACTGAATCAACAGGCAGAGTCATGACTTTGAAAGCTCAGCAGACCCCAACACGTGTCATTCCTTATGCCTTTGATTTGCAGAGTTGTGTTCAGATGAGCCTGGGGACCACGAAATAAAGGTGGAGATGGTATGTCAGGCAGATGTGCACCTTGAGCCACACCCTCTTTGCTCTGCAGCCTGGCAGAAGAAGGAGGAGCCATGGCCTGGCAAGCTGAAGGAGGAGAGGTATGAGGCAAAGCTAGGCTCACAAACCCTGTGGCAAAACAACCCATATCTGCAGTTCCTGGGGCAAAACCGAGGCAGAAGACTGCTTTCTTGAAAGCAGTTGTGCTCTGGGACTTTGCCTTGTTAGATGGCTCATCAAGAGGAGAAGCCTGAGAGCAAGCTTTTTCTGTACCTCGTACAGGTGTAAGTCAAGCAGTTGGCTTAGCCGTGTTTGTGATGGTAATGCCCTAAAGAAATACTTGCAAGGCTCTGAAATACAAAAAATCATCCTCCTACCTTATAATGTAAGCAGCAGCACAATGGACCCATGATTTCCAAGTAGTCAGTGGATGATAGGAGTAATTCCCCATCAACAGTAAGCTGAAAAGGTAAACCTATCTTATTCATTGTAACTCAACCTTATACATTTGTTTTTTCACTCTTGCCTTACAAAGATAGAACAGCAGATCCTGTTATAGCAAAAGGGTAGAAAATTGGATTGCTGGACAGTGCGGAAGATCCTGGACCACCTTCTGCTTGCCCCACGGCTAACTGTCATCTTTATTTGCAGTCCCAGTAAAGCCACGTGTCTGGAGATCAGGGCATGCTGAAGCAGCAGGAGAGGCTTTGTCTGGCCAGTCACAAGACACTTGCCTTTCAGATTTCCTGAAAAGAAAGCCAGTATATCGAGGAGGAAGTTCCCCTCCAGCCGGTGGGAGTTTTGCTACTGCCCACGTTGAACGCGCGCCTGCTTTCCAGCACTTTCTCCTGCAAATGCTTTTTGCAGAAGTAAAGGCTGGAGGGACCAGATGCTGCATATACTGACGTCCTCGGTCATTGTGTTGTCTGCTGGGTTGTTCTTCCAGATCAGAGAAGTGGCAGCTGAAGTCTGCATGTTTGACAGGTGGCATTCTCTTGGCAGGAACCGTGCGAAGGCTGGCAGACACCACTGCTGCAGGCACGGGAGGAGCCCTCGCGAAGGTGCCAGCTTGGGCATTTGATGATCTGGTCTTGGGGGAGCTTTTTGACTTGGCCTTGTACATCATTTGCGAGAGCAACTGTTCTAATGACCCCGCTGAGAGAGGTTTGTGTTATTTTTTCTTTTTCATATGTGAATGTAGCAATGTAGCAAGCAGAATAGCCATAAACCAGGCTTGACAGTCCCATTCTGTAGTATTATGTGCTTAAAGGAAACTTTTAAAATTTCTTTACAGTTGTAGCTAGGAGAAGGGTGAAATGCATGTCCAATCCTTGTTCCAGTAAATAAACAACAGTGAGGAAAACAAAACAGAAACCAGCATCTGGAAGAGCAACTAGATAGACATAGCCCAACTTTGCCCAAAACTTTCGATTGTAGAGCTGAGTTTTCTCAGGTGTTTTGGGTGCAGGGGTTGAGTAGGGGATCTTGTAATGGAGGTGGGAGCTGTGGGAAATTCAGGCCTGTTGGGATCCCACCATGTAGCAGTGGGTAGTGACGAAGGCAGGTGTCCTAAATGGGGTGGATTTACGGAGGAGCTGGAGAGGACCGTGATAAGCTGAGAGACCGGGAACCCTGTTTCATCATCTGTTTCTTACTGCTGGGTGCTGCGTGTGTCCCAGGTGGTCTGATGGGGAGATGATGCGCAGCCTCCTCCTAGTTCAAAGCTAAATCTGGCCCTGCGAATCTCAGGTGGATCCCTTGCCCAGTGAAGCAGACAGCAGAAGAGAGCTTTCCTTGGGCTGCTTTCGTGTGGACTCTGATGTCCTTGGTGTAGTGTGAAACACTCACCTCGACCTTTAGAGAGGAGCCAGGCACGGAGCTGTTTGGTGCTTTTAAAGCCGGCCTGCTTCTAGGCATGCCCAGGAACAAGTGTTTCCCACAGCTGAGAAGCTTTGCTGGTTGAGACAGGGATTGCCCAAGTGAGGAGGCAGACAGGGAGCGTTCCGCTTCCAAAATTCTCCCTTTGGAGCTGGGCACCTGGCATCCTTTCATAAATCCAGCCTCCAGCCACTGCAAGGTGTACATGGCTTCCCCAAGGTGCTTGAATTATACTGCCATCCATTTCCCTTCAAGCAGAACAAGTAGTCGTGCCAGGTGCATGAAAAATCTTCTGAGGTGACACTATGTGCTTCCTTAGAAAAGGTAAGTATCTCTGGTTTAAGAGATGTCCATAGGTGGATTTACACATCCATTTTATAAAGCTGTCATATGCAAGTTGAGTATTGTGTTATACAACTGCATTTCTTGAACCTCCAGTTTCAATCTTTCTGATGAGGTCGGTGTAGCAGAGTAGCATCTTTCCATCTCTGATTGAAAGAGCCTTTTTGTTTGAAGAGGAAGATAAGTTGCTGTCCTGGTTCAGCTAGGATAGGGTTAAGTTTCCCCAGTAGAGAGGGGGAAAGGATCTTCAGCCGGGTTATTCATACCATGCTGACGTCAGGTCCGGGCACGGCAGCGCGGGAAGCTTTTCCTTTGTGTCTTTGGTCTTGGGAAGCACGTGCAGGTGGTTGTCTGTATCCTTGCTGTATTTCTCTGTATATCTTTTGTCTTCTTTACTATTATTACTGTTTATTGTTGTTATCGTTGCTACTGTTGTTGTTCAGGTTGTTATTTATCACACTGTTGTATTAAATTTCCTCTTACTTTAACCCGGGGTTTGTGCCTCACTTCCAGCCTGACCGGCTGAGGGCGGGGGAGGGGCAATGGCAGCGTGGTCTCCGGTCCCAGCAGGGCCTAAACCAGCACCTCCTTTTGTAATCCACCCCTTTATTCTATACCAGCTGCGTCATGTCCAGCTGCCATTGAGCAGTTAACAATAACAAAATAACAATTTACAAAGGCACAGCCTAATTCACGGCATGTTCTCACCCAGAATCAAGTCCCCCTGTGGTACGCATCGGACCTCTCCATTGCCCTGCATCACCCACCAGGTACACCCAGGTCCTTGAGCAAAAGCAATCCCGTGGATGGGTTTGCCTTTACCTTTGCCTGGCGCAGGACTAAACCAGACCATTTTTCCCCATATATTCCTCATGTGCACCACAGGGACTTTATCCCCATCTACAGCACGTGGAGGTCTTGCCTGAGCCGGCCAGCTCGGCTGGCAGATCTTGTGTTGACTAGCCAGGTGGCCTTTGCTAGATGCATGTCCCAGTCTTTGAAGGTGCCACCTCCCAGTGCTTTCAATGTGGTTTTTAACAGTCCATTGTAGCGCTCGATCTTCCCAGAGGCTGGTGCGTGGTAGGGGATATGGTAGACCCAATCGATGCCGTGTTCTTCTGCCCAGACATTTATGAGGTTGTTTCAGAAGTGGGTCTCATTGTCTGACTCAGTTCTTTCTTGGGTGCCGTGTTGCTACAGGACTTGGGTTTCAAGGCCCAGGATGGTGTTCCGGGTGGTGGCGTGGGGCGCTGGGTAAGTTTCCAGCCACCCAGTGGTTACTTCCACCATTGTGAGCACGTGGTGCTTCCTGTGGCAGGTCTGTGGCAGTGTGATGTAGTCGATCTGCCAGGCCTCTCCATATCTATATTTCAGCCATCGCTCTCCATTTTGCTGGGGCTTCACCCGCTTGGCTTGTTTGATTGCAGCACACGTCTCACATCCGTCAATGATCTCATAAAGAGATAGTGGTTTCTAGGTATAATAGAGCACACAGGGCTCTAGGACCAATACTGACTGTTTAAATAACTTGGAAATGCTAGGTAATGGAGAAGCTAGACAGTGAGTAAGTATCTGTTAAATAGAGCATTTGGAGTCTTTTCTCAGAAGTTGCAAGTGAATTAGGAGGCAGATTGTTGAGGAGAGAGGTAGCCATGATGACCGAAGGCTGGCTCAGTGAAGAGTGCTGTCCGAAGAGGAGTTAGAACAGCATGATAAGAACTGGCTGAAACTGTGGAATACAATGGAGTTTTGAAATTGAAGATGAAATGAGAGCTGAAATTTCCTGGGAAAGCAGCAGACTCTTTGTATTGTACGTTAGATCATCTAGAGAGAGGGCGCTTTCTGTTAGCTGTTGCCACTCCCCGAGGTGATGGCCCAACTCGGAGTCGCTAATAAAACCAGCCTTAGAGGTCCCCGCAGCCTGGTGCAATCCTTTAACACCGTATATCACCCTTCCCCTTCGGGTTGTCCTTGTGCTTTCCATGAAGAGACATGGATGGGAACGTCGTCTGCCGGCTGTGTGTCACGGAGCTGCACTTCAGGTGGTGCGGGCTGACAGTGTGGAGCATCTTTCCTGTTCTCCTCTAAGATCCCCTATAGATGCAGGACGTATGGGGTCAAGTGTTCGTCTCCCTCAAGGAGGCTTGTGCCAGCGGGGACGGAGGTCCCAGGTGGAGCTAAGTGCCTGCCAAATGCTCTTTGAGCTGGTGAGAAGCCTAGAGGTTGGTGAGGGGTCCTTGGAATACCCCAAAGAGCTCTGCCTAAAATTTCAGGCCACTTCTAACCTACCAGACCCTGATATTTTTGTTTATTTTATTGGACTGTTTTTAGCCCGTTTTATTCATTGCTTCTTTGCGTCTGTCCTGAGGACGGCGGATGATGTGGAGGACGTTGCTCTGTGTGTCTTGTTCCCCTTGGATAAATGCTGCTTAATATTGCTGCTGCAGAAAGAGAGTCCTTGCTGTCTCCTCTCGTTTCAGGTGTTGTGTCTATTTTCTGGCAAGAGTGTTTTGACCAGAGGTGTAGTAGCAGCTTTGCTGTTGGGGAAGGTTTCTTCTGGGCGTGCTGAGAGGTGAGCCGTGATTGACAGCGGGGGCTTAAGGGGACTGCCGGGAGGCGTGTCAGTGCAATGAACTCTCGGTGTTGTAAACAGAGAGGATGTCCCCACGATGGAGGGCAATGTCCCCACGCACAGCCCCTGGTAGGAGTGACACTGCTCAGGGCCCGCAGCAGCAAGGGCCTGCAGCACAAGAAGGCCCCTTGACTGTCTGTTGGGGCTGAGTCTGCTGAGGGAGCGTGAGGAGGGAGCCTGGGGTGCGTGTGACCGAGAGAGCGGCAGGTGAAGTCTGCCGTGGGCAGCAGTGGTGTGTTTGGAGGCGAGAGGATGCGAAGGTGGTGTTCCTGTGGTGCCAGGAGGGTGTCGGCAGCGTGCGAGGCTTTTGTTTGGGCTGGGTTTGTGGAGGCAGAGCGTCAGGCCTGTCAGGTTGTAGGAAGCGTTTGTGGAGGTGCTGGAGCAGAAGGGCCGCTGGAGTTAAGTGCGGCGCTGGGGCGGGTGCTGGTAGGGGCCAGGGTGTAGCCACCCCCTCCTGCAGGGGCCTGTCGGGGAAGCTAAGCAGGAGCGTCAGCCTGTCACGAGCTGGATGGGAGACCCAGGGGTGCCCCCGGTTACCACCGGGATGAGAGGGCGCCCGGGAACACCCTTTTTGGCCTCTGCCCCTTTCTTTGTGCTCTGGGCTTTTTCGCCCTTCCTGGCTTGCCCTGGATTTGGTCGTGGTCCTCCTTGCAGAGGCTCCTGGCACCCCAGGTGGCTGTTGGCCTCGTGGTGGCCATTGGCCGAATGGCGCCCATGGGTGCAGGGCCACAGGGCAGCTGCTTTGTGTCCCTTTGGCGTGGCGGTCTGCAGCGTCAGCGCCTCTGGTGCTGGCCGGGAGAGCGGGAGGTGCATCTTGCAGCTGCTTGGGGTGGGGTGGGCGGAGGAGTGCGAGGCCTTTGTGCCCAGCCAAGGTGGCGGGGAGGGCTTCCTTCATCCCCTGGGAGGAGCTGGGCACATCCCCGGAGCTGGGCCGGCTGGAGCCTGTGGCGTCCCAGGAGGTGCGGGCAGGAGGAGACAGGCCGGCAGGCCGACAGGGCAGTGATGGCAGAGCACCAGCACTGGGGGTGCTGGTGGGGAGGAGAAGGGTGCATCCAGTTTTCCCTTCCTGAAAGTTTAACAGTAAAAGGAAGGACACAGTGAAAGCGTATGGAAAAGGAGCGAGCTTTAGAAATCTCCTTTCTCTTAGGATATTGTTCATAGCAGGAATAATTCATAAATAGTTCTCTCTAGGTTTAACAGAGTTTAACTGAGTTCTAGGTACAATACTGACTGTTTAAATAACTTAGAAAGGCTACGTAATAATTCATCCTGTCAAGCTCCAGCTTTCCCACCCACTCCCCTCATCACCATCACCATCTCGTCTGCCCTGAGCCCGAAGAGATGAAGAGAGGTGTTTCCATTTTCTGTCTGGCAGTGGCATAGCTCCAGGAGGAGTCCCATGGAGGAGTGCGATAGGACCATGGAGGACAACCGAGCACAGCCCGAGTCCACTGAGCACCACCAAGATAACGGCAAGGAGCACCATGGAATACCATGGACCGTAGGACCATGGAGGAGTGTGATACACCCCTGAGGACCACCGAGGACAGCCCTCGTCCACCGAGCACCGCCAAGAAACACTGAAGACCACCACATAACACCAAGGTCCACTGAGGACTGACAAGGACCCCCAAGGACCACTGGAGAACCCAAGGTATTACTGAGGACCACTAAGACCACCAAGGACCACTGTGGACAACTGGAGACCCTCATGTTCCACTGAGTACCACTGGAAGCTGTTGGACTCCCTTGGAGGCCATCAAGGTAACTGGGGCCTTGGAGGTGCCATTTTTTCAGCCTGAGGATGAGGAAGGTGGTGGGGGTGGCTGTCCTTACCCAGCTCTCGTCTCAGCTCCCCAGCGGGTGCATGAAGGGGAAGCCAGACCCACCCTGGCAGTGAGCAGAGAGCAGCAGAGCACCAAAGAAGGCAGATGCTTGTGCTGGTTCTGGTGGGGATAGAGTTAGTTTTCTTCCTAGAAGCTGATCCAGTGCTGTATTTTGGATTTAGTACAAGGACGATGCTGATAACATGCTGATGCTGTAGTCGGTGCTAAGGAGTGCTCGTCCTAAGTCAAGGATTTTTCATTTTCCTGGGTTTTGCACGCGAGTGGGTGCACAGGAAGCTGGGAGGGCGCAGGACTGCCGGGAGAGCTGACCCCAGCTGAGCACAGGGACACTCTGTACCGTACGAGGTCATGCTCGGCACAGGAATCAGGGAAGGAGAAGGAACGGGGAGGACGGTCGAAGTGGTGACAGCACCATGGATGACCAGCTTTCTATGCCGAGGCAGCTTGGGGCTCACCCAGCTCTCTCCTTGTCCCTTCCCTGTGCACAGGACACCAGAAGGATCCAAGAAACCCCGAGTGACCCTCGTCCCGTCACTGCAACTCCTGGAGAAGGAGCGGAGCCGCCACCATGCCATGAGTGTCTCTCTGAGTGGGTACTGTGCTCCCTTCTGCCACTGCTGCTCTCTTGCCCGGTGGAGGCCGTTCAGCACCAGGAGGCTGGGGAGGCTGGTGGAGGGCCAGGCAGAGGGCAGAACGGCTGCCTTTCCCCTCTAGCTGTGCCGGGGTGCAGGGATGGGTGTGCAGTGGCATGGTGGGCTGGGGGCCCTTTCTGCTGCATGGTTGTTCCCTAAGCACAGCCTGGTTCTTGCAGGCTCATCTCAAGCACAGGCCTCCGACGATCCTGTCTAGCAGCGAAGGGGGACTTTGCCACTCACCAGGTGAGTTTGGGAAAGAAAGGCTCCTCCTGCAATCGGCTGGGCTGTGCTCCTTGTCCCTTGAGTGTCCCTGTGCAGGTTGGGCACCCCGAGGGAGGACGTCAACCAGAGGAGAAAGGACAGCGCTTGGCAGTGTTCGCTGGACGTGGTTCTGCAGGGACACGCAGCCTCTGGTGCTGCCCACAGCCTGGAGGAGGACAGGGCCAGGGCTGGGCCAGGCTGTCCATGGACACACCGGCTCTCAGGAGCCCCCGAGTCGGAGCAGTTGAGCCGCAGCCACGGTTCCAGCTGCTGGCTCCCCTGCCCGTCCTGCCGCACCGCTCAGCATGGTGCTGCAGGCAGGGCAGGGCAGGCTCCAGGAGCACTGGCCTGGCGGCATCCACTGACGGCCTCTTCTCTCTTTTCCTTTGCAGCACAGGGTCTGCAGCAGACCCCAGCCACTATCCCGTCTTGAGGCAGGCGGGCTCCGGCTGCAGCAGGGCACTCTTTGGGCAACCCCTGGCAGCCCTCTACTGGGAGGATGGCATGCTGCCCCAACCCATTTAGGTCAGTCAGACTAGCCAGAGGTCCCCAGCCCTCCCTCTGCAGGCTCCAGAGGGGCAGCAGGTGTCCCCAGGAGCTTTGGGGATGGGGCACTGGGCTCTTCACTCCCAGCACAGAGCCAACTCTGGGGCAGTGCTCTGGCCACCACTGCTGGAAGGCAGCTCCTCGGCCACGTAACTGTCCTCCCTCCTCTCCCGCAGGAGCTGCTGTCTATGCTGCAGCAGGAAGGGCTGTGGATGGAGGGGATATTGCACAGAACCACCGTGCTTCTGGAGCTGTGGGACACCCTGGACCATGGCGCAGACGTCGACCTGCAAAGCCAGCCCGCTCTGCTGCTGGCTGCCATCCTGAAGGTGAGCGCTTCTGCTCTGCAGCTGGAGGAGCTGCTGGCTGGCCCCAAGTGTTCAAAGGATCACCTGGAGCCCTCAGCCTTGCAGGACTGGCTCTGGAGTATCCCCTTCAAGCTCCTCATGACCGACCTCTATGAGGACTGGATGGCAGCATTGCAGAAGGTCAGCAAGGAGGAGAAGATCTGGGAGCTGAGAGAGTGAATGTAGGCAGCAGCCTGCCTGTTGAGCAGGAGCCCTGACCGCTGGCACAGAGTACCTGGAAAGCTGAGCTGGCTCCCACTGGCCTTGGGTGGAGCTGGGGGACACTGTGGGCAACATCTGCTGTATTAGTGCTGTGTGCCTGTTCCCCCAGGGTGGCCGAGAAGTTGCCTGTGGCCAAACTCCTCCTCCTGAAGCAGCTGCTGTCCTTCCTCCAGCACATCGGCCACCACACAGCCACCAGCAGGATGGGCTGCAGCAACCTGGCCATCTGCATGAAGCCAAACCTGCTGAGCCCAGCCCAGGTGGACCTGCTCTTGCTGGAGACCGTGCTGGAGGTGACCCACAAGGTACGTATCCCAACCCGCTGGGGCAGCCTTCCCGGTCCACCAGCACTTGGCTGTGCAGAGGGCTCTGCAGGCCTCCTCCCACCAGCAAATGCTGTCAGGGTGGCTGCCCGGAGGAGCAGCCCCACAGCCACAGCCTCTGGGCAGGAGCAGGTCTCAGGGGTGGCAAAGGCTTCTTGGTCCCTTGTCAGGCAGCAGGGTTGAGACCGACGATTTGACATGTGCAGGTGAATGTGCTGGTGGAGTTTCTGATGGAGAACTGCAGGGAGCTCTTTGAAGAGGAAATGGGCAGCCTTTCCAGCACAGCAGACAAGGAGCTGCCAGCCCCCCTGGAGAGATTCAGAGGTGAGAGGAGGGACTGAGGTCCCAAACAGGCTGGGGTTTGGAACACCAAAAACCTCCATGTTGCTTCCCCTCTTGTCCTGTGGCCTCCAAACAGGAACATTTTCCTCTGCAAGATGAGCTGGAGCCTGCAGACAGGGCATCGGAGGGCTGACCACAGAAGTGTAGGGCTTCGGGTGGATTTTGCTTTAGCTCTGTTTCCTTCCAGGAAGTCAGTTTGCCACAAATGCTTTTGCTTTCTAGATCTGTGTTTGAAAGACAAAAGTGTCTCTGCAAGCAGAGAAGACACAGAGCACCAGGAAAAAACCTTTCTGGATGCATCCACCTCTCCACTGGACATCCTCAGACAAGCTGGGGAAGACATGGAGCTGGAGTCTGAAAAAGGAGAGGTATGTCAGCTCCCCAAACACGGTGACAGTGTGTCTGGTGTAGGAAGGGAGTTTCTGATAAGGCCAAGTCGCTGCTGTGCCTCTGCCTGGCAGTAGTGTGGGTTTGCGTTGTTCCTCCACCTCTTAGGATGATACATAGCAAAGGAAGTCGGCAAGGTTGTGTCTCAAATGCACTTGGCATGTGTTTGATCAGCCAAAGACTTACAGAAAGACAGAGGGGAGTAGTTGTCAACTTCAGGGGTGTTTTTCTCAGCCCCTACTTCATCAGAGCTTCCTCAGGTCTATTTAGGGGTCAGCAGGGGGACTGTGTGAACGGTGGCTGATGCAAAGCAGCCCAAGGCATCTCCACTGGAGAGCTCAGGTACCAATTCAGCAAACAGTCACTTACCACTCCAGATCATCCCTTGCCACAAGCCAACTGTGACATTTCTGGTTTAGGCACGGCCAGCTTTGCCTCTAGTCACCCCCAAGAGCACGGCAGACTCCCTGGGGCACCTAGAACAACTGGCCAGGTTTCCAGAGGAAATACGGTAAAACAAGCTCGCTTTGGTTAAAATCAGAACTGACTCCAGTGGGTCGTGGCTTTCCCTATCTAATCCCACTGTGGGGTGTAACAGTTTGCAGGCTCTGCCCAGGACAAGGAGAAGAAGAGAAGACAAAAGAGAAAAGAGGCCTGGGGGGAGAAGAGCGAAAACTGTGTGGAAAAGAAGAGGAGGAAGAGAGAAGGTGGTTCCGGGGACAGACCAGTGAAAAAACAGCAGCAGGTGCAGCAGGTTGGGCAGCCCAGGTGCATGCCGGGCTCTGCTGCCCATCTTTCACCCCTCTCTCCACACTCCTCTCCGTCAGCCCAACGCACTGGCAAGGGACAGCGAGGGACGGTGCTGTGTGGGGTCTGGAAATGGCAGGGGCCCAGCGGCTCCCAGCCGAGCCCTGCAGCATGGCACAGGGGCACTGCATTTTTCTGCGCAAGATCAGGGCTTGAAGGGCATTGCCCAGGGGACAAGGTGCCAGAGCCACCCTGTAGCCAGCGCCAGGAACAGCTCTCTGCTCTGGGCCGTCAGCAATTCTTATACACAGTGTTCCCCAGAGAGGGGGCAACAACACCCTGCTCCTTCCTGCCATGGATTCACCAGAGCTCTCTGACTCTGTCGTTGCAGGTGCCAACTCATTTACTGCCTGAACTGCTGTGACTGTGGGGCCCCTGCAGTTGCTGTCTACAATAAAAAGATCTTTCTCTCTTGTGACCAAGCCTGCCAGAGGATATTCTGGAGTGGAGGCTGTTTTCTGTGATGAATCCTCAGGGAGCAGTTAGGGATCGTCCCTTGTCCCAGCAGACTTTCCAATGGGTGTCAGGGTGCTTTAGGAGGGAAACCCAAGCCCATAGCCACACAAGAGGGTGGAGGTTGGACAGAGCACCTTGAGGTCATCTGGTCCAAGGTGGGCTCAAGCAGGCTCAGCTCAAGCAGGCTACCCAGCACCATGTCCTGGGTTTCTCCCAGAAGAAGCACCATGAGCTCAGGGTGAGGGCAAGACGTAGGCAGGACACGTGTCCAGGAAGGGCTGAAGGTCCTTATGGGGCTACCGTCACCTGCAGCTCACTGTCCTCTGGGGCCCTTGTCCTTGCACACGGATTGTCAGGCGGTTTCCCCAGACCCCCCAAACTCATGGCAATGGTACAAGCCAAACTTCCCCTCTGGGCCATAGAAACATTCCCCTCAAATGCTGCACCCACTCTTGGGTTTGAGTCCTAAAGCAGTGCCAGGCACAGCTTTGCAAGGGAGTTTCCCCCAACAGAATTTTCCTCTGCACAGGGAAATACTAAATCTTCCCAAAATAAGGAGCCAGCCGTGGGTTTCTGGTGGGCGAAGGGGGCAGCCATAGCGCTGGGTCTCCCTGCCAGCCCAAGGTACAAATACCTTTTGGATGGCCCACAGGCACGGTACGGAGCCAGACCTCAGCTTGCCTTTAATTTTTTAAATCAATAAATAAGTAAATAAAAAAAGAAAAAATGCTGGCTCTGTAAATAGCCAAAACAAAGCTTCAGACGGAGAAGACAGCCATGCCAGAGCAGCCTGATCTGCTGACAAGGTAGCTGAAGGCTCACAGCACCCCCCTCCACCCCACTCCCTGATCCCCTAGAGGCTCAAAGCACCCCCAGAAATATTCTTGTAAGGACCTACAACCCTCCTCCCCCTCCCCCCTCATTGACACTGACTCCGCCCCACACCTTCACTGCAAGATCCTTTATTCCCTTAGGACCCCCCAACCCACCTCTGACAGAAAACCTTCCATAATACACCAAAATTAAATGGGGGGGTGGGGCTTCCACAAGCCACAAACCCTGTACAGGATTCTCCCCGTCCTGGTATGTCTGAGGCATTTGGGGTGTGGGGCACCCCACGGGGCTCTGTGGGGCAAGGAGGTGAGGGGCTGGCAGGGGTGATTGGCAGGAATGGGGATGGGGGTGGGGGCATCACTTTGGGGGCCAAGGGTGTCACCGGGGGTGGAGAGGTACACCACCACACACAGAGGCTGCCCAAGGTGTGTCAGAGCAACGAGAAGTCAGTGTCAGTGTAGGAGAAGCAGAGAGGGAAAGAGAGGGGCTGTGTTTTGCTGATTAAGGATACCAGTTAAACTCAGACACCAGAGTGAAAAGACTAGGCATATTTTACTAGTGATAACCAAATAATGTAACATAGTAAAACATGCAGTAAGAAAAGGTAGAATAATGCACCTAAAGCAACAAGTAGGAAAATACAGGGCAATGCATCAAATCATCACTACCTGAGAAAGAGAATAGTGATTAAGAAAGATCCATCCCCACTTGCATACGTTCCCATCACCCAGCCCCGCAGTGGCTGGGCAGCCCCGTTACAGCGAGGGTTTGGGGAGCCTGTCCTGGCAAGGGGGAAATCCTACGCGGTCCATCCACCCCTAGGTGAGGCTGCCAAAGTCGCTGTGAGCGGGTCCAGCCTTATATACCTGAAACTCAGCAAGCCAGAATAGCTGGCACCTTTGTTTTGAGTGGAAAATTTCTGGTTTCATTCTCCTGTTGGATTCCACCCAAAGCCTGGCCAGGGCTCAGGGGGTGAAACCAAGGGAGTTTCTAACAAGGCCACAAACTTGGGTTCTCAGCCTTGAACAAGGCTAAACAAGGGAAGTTGGAGACATTCTCTCCTCGCTACTGATTATATTCTGTCTAAGCTGCATCTTTCACTAGCGGGTTTACATACTTTGTTAATGATTACAGACTAAAAAGCTTTGGCTTGGGGCCTGTTGTTCAGGCTTCAGTACTTCAATGCTTTAGCACTTTTACATCAGCATAAGTGGGTTGTTGTAACTTCGTACAGTACCTACTAGCACAATGGTTATCATCTATAAAATGATAGGATTCATCTATAGGTCAGCTCTGGCTTGGGCCAGTTGTCCAAGCCTTAGCACTTCAACCTCTAGTCTTACACTCCTGTAATGAATACACATACAGCTAGATGACCTTTTAAGGGCAGATCTTTCTCGCATGGACTCAAAGATCAGTTAATTCTTCTAGAATAATAATCTATTAGGTCTACTTGAAAATACAGCTGTGCTTTGTATATTTATTTCCTCTTTTCATTCTAGGTTAGAATGGTCTGTGCTTCAACCACAGGCAGAGAAATAAACAGCAATCTGTGCTGCAGTTTCATATTGCTCTGTTACTTCTTCCAGTTACTACTTTTAATGAACTGTTTGTTTATGAATTAAGCAATAAAGACAGATGATTAGGGGAGACTGTACCCTGAATCATGCAATGTTACTACTATACTTTGCTCAGGGCAATAATCAAGAAACTGACTGAGTGGGGAAGAATTTGTTATTAAAAAAAAAAATCCAAACAAAAACCAACCAAAAATCAACCAAAACCCAAACAAAAAAAACCAACAACAAAACCTGATGGAGTAAGTCAAGTGTAACTATTCTGTGAGGAAGAGGGATCTGTTAACACAGACTAGAATAAAACATCTGTATGAGGTCTGTCTGTGTAAAAAATCTGGAAGAGACCATCTTCCATTTTTCCCCTCTGTAATGTTTGTGACACCCAAGATGGCATCTCCAGCTCTTCAATGAAAGCAAAACATGCAAAAAACCTATTCTGCAAGAGGAAAAAAGAATTTGTGTATCTGGGAGATACAATGAATGTGTGGAAGTTTTACCTGTTTAAATCATTAGAAGGATTAAGCTCATATAATGGTTACAGTTTTGCAGCAAATACTTGTGTATAATTTATGGAAATAGCTGCAGCAGTATTTAATATTTTTCTTGAACTAAATAAATTTGTTACCGATTTCATTATGACTGTAATATATTATATGGTTACCTTCTACAGCTGTATTTTTGAAAAACTGATACATCTCCATAGCCATTTTGTATCTATCTCACCCAACAATGCACTTTAGGCCAGTTTTTCCACTCTAAGTGACAATATTTGGTCCCGTCTTACGCATTTTATATCCCACTCTGATTGTTCTTACACTTTTTATTTAATACTTTCATTGGTGGTAGGGATTTCATTTTTTTTCCTCACACTGGCAGTCCATCTGATCCAAGGTTGCTTAAACAACACCAGTGTATCCAAGGAGTTTGCTCATGTGAATAATTGTGCTCAGCTTAATTTATGACTTTTTTAAGTCTCCCAAATACCTATTGCTGGACACAAAGGAAGCCCTAAAATAAATCTGCTCAGAGTAACTACCTGAAATAGAATTATAAATCTGCTCAGAATGATTACCAGACTAAGAATGAAGCCAACCACACAGCAATGGGTGCAACAGAACAAAAATACAGAGTCAGGTCTCAGACAAAAAAAAATCATATCTGACCTCTTCACCAAGACATAATCACCTGCAGTGAACAGCCTTTGCAATGACATATGTTTGCACAGGAGGCTGGGGAGGCAGCAAAACGATGGTTTAAGACCAGCCTTCCTCAAAATAAAATCAAAGACAGGAGTCAGATTTCCCAATGTACTGTGATAGTCCTAACCTCTTCTATTATATGGCCAGGGAAAGGAAATGAAAAAGAAACTTAGAGTATTTTTTGTGTTCTCTATTCATTCTCTTCCCATTTAATGTCAGACCTGTGCTCTACTGGCACTGGTATTGATTATTGCTTGGTTACTCATATGGGGGAAAAAAAGAGTATTTCACCCAAGTATCTTACCCGTTCTCCTGTGAGTATTTGTACTTGCATGGCACTTAGAGTCTCTAAGTGAGATCAAGGCCTCATTTAAGTAGCAGTGTGTATGTATTAAAATACACATAGCAATATTAATGTCTGTACACATTTTTTAATATATATGTATACGCACACACATATTTTAATGATATGACATCTGTCCTTTGAGTCTAAATGGTCAAGAGAAATAAAGTCAAGGAGAAAGAAAATATTTTCCCTGAATGAAAATAGTCAAAGAAAGCTTAACTGAATTTTGGAAGTATAAATCATGCTGAGGAGACAAGACAGCAGTAGTATTCAGCAAGTTCTTGACCCATCATCGAGAGTGTTATTTTATTTCAACATGTTCTTTCACTGCTAAAATATTAAAAAATTAAGGATATTTCTGTAACATTTTCTTTTAAATTCTCATTATGCTTCCTGTAGAATTTTTAAGAGAGAGGGAATATGTAATCTAGGATATACACGTAACATTGTAATATCCAGCTGAAATAAAAAGAAAGTGGCAAGAAAAAAAAAAAAAGACAATGAAGTCATAAAGCAGAAAATGAAAGTGGTAAGTGTCAAAAGCATACACAAGGGGAAAAACCTTAAAAACCAAAAAAATGATGAAAGAAAACTTCTCCTACAGAATAATTGAATTTCATGATTTTGAAGAAAGAGGAGCCTACGAATGACCTTCAAAGCATCCCAGCCTGTCTTTCAGAATTTATACACAGGAAAGGAGGAACATAAGAACTTATCTTTAACATGAATGCTTTGGGCTTGATACAAATTGGCCTCATACTGTTGTGCACCACCACCATCTCCAGTCTTCAGTGTAATCACCTTCCTTTACAGCAAAGAAAAGTGATCAAGAACAGCCTGCAACTTTTGGACAAAATGGGCAATAAGTTTCCTCGACAATGTCTGAGAGAGAAAATGTCCTTCAGATTTCCTGAGCAGGTTCTAAATCCCAGACAGAAAGAGATTGTCAAAGTGGCCATTGAAGAGATCTTCCAACACATCTTCTATATCTTTAGCAAAAATCTGACTTTAGCTGCTTGGAATGGGATAGCTTTAGAACAATTCCAAAATGGACTTTATCAGCAAATTGAGCAATTGGAGGAATGTGTAATCAAGAAGCAGACCCACTACTTTCAGAGTAAAGAAGTCAACAGGCTGAAACTGAAAAAGTACTTCCAAAAAATAGACTGTTTTCTTAAAGACAAACATCATAACCTGTGCTCCTGGGAGATCAGCCGTGCAGAAATGAGGAGATGTCTTCAATTGATCGATAAAGTCATAAGGAAGCTTAACAACTAAGGTACAAAGATTTTGACCTGATATAACTTAGCTTTAAAAGTATTTATTATTCTATATAGAAGCACTTGTGGCAGTGCTTCTAGTTAATTTTGATTGTATTTAAATAATTACATTGCTGAAATTTATTTTTGCAAATGTAATGAATTATTCAGTATACATAAATTTTTCCCCAGGTGTCTACATGAGCTATAAATTAATCTATGTGACTTTTCAGTGAGGGTTACTCCGTAGAAAGGGATTGTAATCTTACCACAAATAGCGTCATCCTATGGTGTTTTCTGCTGAAAAAATGGGCTGCTACTTTCCATCTCTATTTTACCTACATATAGATAATCATGTAGTTGTGAATCCCTCACCTTACAGGAATTGCTAGATTTGTACTGATTGAGACAGCATCAAAATTAAAGTGGTACATTGTTTATTTAAGTGGTCCTGGCTTGGGTTGAGACCATTCATTATTCTTTCAAAGTTTGTATGCTCTTTTCCAAGAATGTTTGGGGTTTTTTTTACGTTTGAGTCATTCTAACATTTGCTTTGTTCAAAGAGGTAAAGTAAATCTAGAAGGATTTGTCTACACAGGATATTGTTTAGAGTAGCTATGGCTTCTGCAGTAACTTCTCAGTTGGCCATTGTTACTTTTACTTGAAGTACCCTTGTCTCCTCTAACTATCTGGGGGAAAGGCTTTTCTTTCTTCCTGCTGTGTCCAATTCACTTTAAATTCTTTCACAAGCTTATTTGAAATAACTTCTCTACATAAAAGTACCCTAAAGCCACACCTGCCTGTTGCCATCCTACTTGCTCATGAACATAACCATCCTGGCTACTGCAATCTCAAACATTACCATTCAGTGCTGTGTTTTATTGCTGCATGAAGTTTTCTGACTCTTTGCTCACAAATTGACCCACAGAAATGTATAGCCCTTGGTATTCGAATTAATTTCCCCTCCAAACCACATAGCCTCAAGTAATAATTGCAATATAATAAAATTCTTTAAAGCAACTTGCAACAACTAGACAAAAATCCACTAATTTCTGTGAGGTCAGACCCAGATTTTACCCTTGGGAAACTGTCCCTGGGTAACTCCGTTACAAATGGTTATATTTCCCTAGTCACTGTATGTTTGTAAGGGGGAAAACAGAGTAATATCCAGGCTCTGTTACCTAATGAATATTGGTAAAAATATGGTAAAAACCCAAAAAAACTTCAAAAAACCCCTATTTCCCATGGCCAAGGCTGATGTACATTTGGCACAGGCCTCTGGGTCAGGTGTAAAGAAGCAGAGGAGAGAGACCATGGCTGTGGCTCCCAAGAGAGCGTGATGGTAGTCCCATAGGTCTGAAATTGCTAGAGGTTGGTTTAAGCGTCAGGTGAGGAAAGGCTTCCCCTGATCTGCAGCCATTAGAAGAGTATCATTCCAGGGGTAATAATTAAAAGGTGCATCTAAATGAAAAACTTACTGGTAAGAACAACAGCAATGGTATACCAGATCTCGGGTACCATATCTATCACACAGGTCTCTTTGCAGGGTGTATATACTCTCCTTGTCTACCACTCCTGGATGCAAGCTAAAGAAGTGACAAGAGACATGGGTATCAGGTCTGAAGCTGAAATAACAGAGATGAAACCAGCTAGGAACTTCCCCATGATCCAGAGCAACAGAAAAGAGCAAAGAAACAAACTATCAGAGCCATTTGCCACCTGGTGACACTCCGCCACAAATGATACAGCAAAATGTGTGTTTTGTGGGCTTTGTAACTACTAGCAGCACTTGAAATGGCCCCACTGCAAGGCTGTTTCAAATTTTATTTATTTCTGCTGCTTGTTTGTTTTTTGCACTTCTTCAAGCCTGTACAATAAACCAACATTCAGCCTACTTACCTTTCTGGTTCTGATATCCTAGGTGATTTCTGTAATGCAGTAAACTGTCATTGAAATGGCTTCATCTTTACTGAAACTTGGAAATATTTTCAGCTGCTCTCATGAAGGATCCCAGTTTTTATCACCTCACTTGCCTGCAGTGGGAATATGTTAATTCATGGTCCGCCAATTGTTCAGAAATTATCATACCATTAAGCTTTCCTTTTAGTTCAAAACTGTCCTTTAAAATCTCATCGCCAAATAAAAATATAATTCAGTCAACAGGGTACTTTGCAGTACAGGAAAAAAACAGAATGGGCACTAGAGGGCAAAGTGAGATTATAGACAAGTGTAAGAATTATAGGTGAATGTACATGTATTTTGGCAAGACAGTGTTTCAACTCTTTATGAACATGTTGTTTATCAATAAACTGCTGTTGGGTTCACAAGAGGGAATTGAAAGAAAAAAGAACAGCTATTGAAAGAAAGATGTCAGACATGATGAACAGGAACTCACAAATGAGCATTTTATTTCAATTACTTTTTGACCAGCTGTGAGAGAATAGAAATTATATGTACTGCAACAATGTGTAGAGAACACATTTAAAGATGGAGAGCCTAGAACAGATGTAGCTGCTCAACAAATAAAAAGGAAAAATAAAATAGTAAACCAATATATGTTTGTTTTATTCTTACTATTTAAATAAAGGTAAAGTGTCTTTAAGATAAAGGAAGAAAGCTGGAGTCCAAAGATTCTCTCTCTTCTCCTTGATATTGTAACATTTTGGTGCAATCTGTATTTCATCACCATCTATTACCAGGTCAGCTGTATATTATGCCCCTGGCTAACTGAAACCCTCTGGTATTTCTTCCAGTTATTATTTTTCTAGAAGTTAAACAAATGTAGCAAAATGTAGTTTTTAACATACATTATTTTCAAATGGAAATTAATAATATAGTGAATGTGAAGTCTCAAATCCCAGCTGAAAATTTAACATCGATGAAACAAAATCCTTCCATGATGGGATTGACTGTAGGCCAAAAGTTTCTTAAATTTTCTCTTGAGACTCATACACCACTGCTGTGCAGCACTGGTCCAAGTCACAGTTGTGGCTGTTCTCACAGCACCTTGTTTGCGTGTGCTGTGCTGCATTTTTGGGGAAACTGCACTAAAAGTGATAGGGTTTCTTCTACGCAGAGTCTGTTTTCTGGAGTGGATTTATGGGATTGGGGTCAAATGCCTTGTATCCCACATGAAACCTCAGAATAGCTACAGCAGAATTGCAGACTGCTTATTCCAGGCTTTACTCTGGAAAAAATTATTCACAAGTCAAGTCACAGTCAACTACAGCTGTTTGGAGCAATTCTTCCACGGGTTTGGGCTGTTCTGTCAGCTCTGGCTTTACTTTCTTTTTAGACTGGAGTGGGGCAAACCCAAAACAGAGGAAAAAAACAAAGCAGAACAGGACAAAAGCTTGTGGAAATAATCTTATTGCTAGGATGGACAGCTGTGAACTCCTTCAGAGCAGTCATAGGGAAGTTGCAGCGGTGGCTGTGATGGAGCAGGCAGACCAACACTAGGGTTCAGGGGTGTGTGCTGGAGAAGGGATCAAGAACTGCTCACAGGGAGACAGTGCCCATAGACTGCTGCATCCCACTAGCCCTCACCCCTTCCAACTCAGCCTGCCCCTTGTCAGGGGCAGCCCTAAACTCTTTACACCCCTCCCTGGTGTGGAGGAACACTGCATCCTTCCAGGGAGTGACCAGAGGGGAGACCAAGAAATGAGGGTGACAATGACACAGAATAAATCTTAAAAGAAAGTATCATCCCTCAGTTTTGACTAGCAGAATGAATTTACTTTGCTTTAGAAATTTAATGAAAAGCAAAAAAATGTGAACAATGCAGGTTCAACAATGGAACTTTGATACTTTCCAATGAGGTGACTGTGCTTTTAAATATCAAAAAATATTCCTACTAATCCTCATATAGGCAAGGATGGGGCATTTAGATCAGTGTTTCCCACACTATTACTGACATCAAGAAATCCTGGTATGGTGCAAGGTCTTTTTCAGTGCTGAGGGTTCCTAGAGGAGCAAACTGGCAGGGAAAGCGAGGACAATCTTTCTTCTCAGCCTGCAGACATGCCAGTGATACAGCCTATTCTGCAACCTGGAGGGCAGCTGCAGTGCTGTCGTGGGGCCTCCCCACTGGAGGAAAGCACTGCCAAGCCCACCTTGCTTCCAAATGCAATTTAGGCCCTTCATTATTTGTGTCCTGGTGGAATTCCTGTTCTCTCTGTACATCAAAATTGAAATCCCCAGCTCACGTGAACTGGCAACCATCTGTTTTAATTTCAGGGGGGCTAAGGATGAAGCAATGAGGGTAATGAACTAAGTGATGGATAAATGAGCACAGAGACATTCATGTACTGCCTCAGATCTCTGCAAGAGGCTGCAGGGTTGGTCAGTTTTCTAAGACCAATCTTCTTGAGCCCAAGTGCTTTCAGTTAGGAACCTAAAACGACATTACCTTTAGCAACAAAGAATTCAATCTTCAAAGCAAATAATATAATCTGCTTTTGAAAGTGTGAAAGTAAACACATTGACACTCCCCTCTACAAAATAACTGTTAAAACATGGTAATGCATTTGCAAAGTCAAAATCCACATTAAGGAGATTAAATATTGAGATTTCAAATAGCATATTTTTCAATAGCCCCCCTGCACACCAGTTACCACCATGCCGACTCACTGTAACTCTTACTATTGGCTGTATTCCTCAAGTTTTTTTATCTTGGTAGGCCAGAACCTACACAACTTCCTCTGGACTTAGCTGCAGTACTGTGTGTTACAGTTTATTTTTCCAGAAAGGAAATATCTTGACAGACATATTTATATAAAACCGAAGGCTTTTCTTAAAAAAAAAAAAAAAAAGCAATTAATACACTTTCTCTCAACTCTCTTTGGGTCTGAGGTGGACTCAGTTCTGGTCTCCACTTTTTGGGAAAAGCTCACATTTTTGTAATAGATCTTGTGACTATAATTTTTTTAATAGTTAAAAATAAGCTCCTGTTGCTTGTAGAAGAACTCATGCTGTTGTCCTTAGGACAAGAGTTAAATCCTGCATTTAGAAAGGATTAAAAACATGTATTTAAAAAGGATTTGTGCTGAATGTGATTACTGGTGACTAAAAGTATTTCAAGGTACTAAACCTTTTTCTTTTTCTTTTTCTTTTTCTTTTTCTTTTTCTTTTTCTTTTTCTTTTTCTTTTTCTTTTTCTTTTTCTTTTTCTTTTTTTCTTTTTCTTTCTTTTTTCGTTTTTCTTTCCTTTTCCTTTTCCCTTTTTATTTTTCTTTTTTTTTCTTTTTTTCTTTTTCTTTTTCCTTTTCTTTTTCTTTTTCTTTTTTTCTTTTTCTTTTTTCCCTTTTCTTTTTTCTTTTTATTTTTTCTTTTCCTTTTCCTATTTTTTTTTTTTTCTTCTTTTTCTTCTTCTCTTCTTCTTTTTCTAGAAAAAATAGAGCACATCTCCCTCTCTTTCCCAGTTCCCCATAGCAGGGTAACTTAAACCTAGAAAATGTCAGAAGCTATTATCACAACTTCTGTTATGAGTGACTTGGTAATGGCTAACACTTAATTTAAAAAAAAAAAAAAAGGGAAATCTCTCAGCCCATCAAGCAGTAATTCCTCCTTATTATTGTAGTGGCATATTTGATGGGCCCATAGGTCTCATCCAGCAACGAAACTGAGTTGCAGTGAATTGTGAGGCACAGAGAGTCTAGAAGCAAGTCTCCTTTCAGAACTGCATATGTCTTTGATATTTAGGTAATCCTTTCACTGCCTCCCTAGCAAAACCAGTGAATTTTGCGCTCTGCTGAAAAGAGGTTGGTTGAGAACGAGAAGGAACGACAGGAAGCTCTACTAAAGGATAAAAATAAAATAAAAAAAAAAATGAGTAACGCTATTTAAAACTCTCCCTGTAAAAAAATTAAATTGTAAAAAATGGTTACCCTAAAGAAATAGATTATTTTGTCCCTGAATATGTAGATTCCAATTCATTAAAAACAGTAGAACCAGGTTATAATAATCAGCCTAAAAAGAAGACATGATTTGCATCACAAAAATAAGTTGCTTCCCTATAGAAATAGTTTTATGAAAAACAGGATTAAGGTGTATTACAGAAACACATGGTTTGCATTTTTATCTTATGCTGAGAACACAGTCAGTAGTCTTCTGTTGATTACTTCCACTTAAGTATTGGGGCAGTATCTTGTAATCTGGGAGATCAATGCTTGGAAATAATGAATTACCGAAAACCAACATAATCCTACAGAGTTGCAGGGCTGGTTGCACATACAAAGGTCAGTCTAGAGGCCAGATAACCTGCTCCCTCAAAGACTCCCTGGAACTGACAAGAAAGGAGGGTAAGCCTGTCACATCTCATTCAAGCAACATTATGAGAGGTTTGGACAGGAGCTACCAGGAGACTCTTGTCTGGCTTCCCTTGTCCTTCCTCTTGCACTCCTTCAGCTGCAGGGCAGTGGCAAGGAAAGGCCACCAGCCTGCTTTTTCTGAAATACCCCTGCCTGCAGTGGAGCTGAACTGTCCTGAAAGATGGTAAATGCAGAAGATCAATCTCAGACTGGCTGAGATTTTTTTCTTTTTCTCCAAAAGCATTTCCAAATTTCATCCTTTTTTCACCTGATGAAACTGTAAAGCTTAAAAATCCTGCCAGCTCTCTGTTTGGTGGACCCCCGTGGCACAACACTTGCTCACCTGGGATGCCTTTCTTCATCCTAAATCAGCCAAGACTTTGGAGTGCCTTACTTTGTTGGATGACACCAGCAAGTGAGCTCTGGTGAGGCAGGACCTGTTTGCAAGCCAGGGTCTCTGCTGAATTTACAAAATTGCCAGTGTGTGAGAGGCATGATGCTGGCATGGCTGCTGCTTCCCTTTTACCCAGTTTGAGAGTACAGAGAAAAGCACTGACACTTCCCGCTGTTACTTGCCTGCAACGTGGAGATGACTTTGCTTCCTCTACTGTCAATGCACAGCCCTCTTTTCCTCACTGGCAGCCTTGGTCAGATGACCTAAACACCAACCAGCTCTGGGCAAACACTCTGCCTGCTAGTGAGAACTATGAGTGTCCAGTACCACACCACACCAGCCCCACAGCACCCAGACAGCCCAGGATTTACTCCAACTGAAATGAACAGCACTGGAGTGTGTGCTTCCAATTAAGCACATGTTTAAGGGCTGTGATTTAACAGTGCTTAAATTAGTGTAATCCGCTGGCCAGAACATAGGCTTCAATTCAGGTAGCCAAAATATCTAATCACGAAGAAAAGAAGACATAAAGTTAACAGTTACGAACATTGAAAATTAATTTTAAGGTACATGGTTTCTCAAAACACATCTGCATATTGCTTTTGCAGCAAGGATTTGGAAACAAAAGCTATACATAAAAGGAGCAGATGTTTTATCCTGGCAATGTTTTCTGTTTGAAGGGAATGAGATTCCTTCCATATCACATGATAAATTTCAGGGCTGCTGTTAACTTTGTGCATAAAGCACCCCCTTCCAATGGTTCCTGACACAAACACTGTACCCACACACATGTTTTTCCCACCTCAGGACACAGGGAAACAAAATGTCATTACAATCTGTTTAGATT